TGCAAAGGGCCAGGCCTTTCATATGCAAAAGCCTCCGTGGCTTGGGCAGGGCGGGGTCCCAGGGGATCAACAGGGCGGAGTGAGCAGTTATGGCTGCCCTCAGAGGCCCTGCTTCTCAGTGTCCCGGCAATCGCTGCAAGCACCCCCGAGAGAAAGCTGCCCTTGAGTTCCGACCGATGCCAGACAGTCCAGTTTCTCCCGTATGAGTCTGGGTCCCCAGAGACTCGCCCAGAACTGGAGCTCAGAGCTTGAGACTCCCTCCCGATTGAAAAAAACAACCGTGTCCTCAGCCACCAGCCCTCTCCGCATGCGCCTCTGTACCTCTGTATTTTACTTCCGCACTGCACCTCCTCTGAGTCTCGGTGTGCTTTTCTCTTTCCTTCTAGTTGTAGAATTTCCACTCAGCCAGCCTTCCTGTGGTTCTGGATGATATCCATTTTGTCTTTTAGTTGTATTTTTGAAGTGGTTGTGCGAGGCAGCAATTTCAGGTGTTTAGCCGCCATCTTGGTTTCTCTCCATCTCACTCAGTCTTGATCAGCTGGACCCCAGTAGCAAGCTAATCTACCAGTCGAAGCATCTGCCCCCTGGTGGTCAGTGCACGTCATAGTGACTGGTCAACCGGTCAACTGTCTGCCCCCCTCGTGGTCAGTGCACGTCCTTGCAAACGGTTGAGTGGCCTTAGCATATCATTAGCATATTACCCTTTGATTGGTTGAACAGACAACTGGAACAGACACTTAGCATATTAGGCTTTTATTATATAGGATTGTTATAATTGTCCTATTTTATCATTAGTTATTGTTAATCTTTTCTGTGCCTAATTTGTAAGTTAGTCTTTATCGTATATATGCATTTATAGGGAAGACATGGTATATATATAGAGCTTGATACTATCTGCAGTTTCTGGCATCCACTGAGGGTCTTGGAATGTGCCCCATGCGGATAATGGGGGACTACTGTACCTGATATATATTAGGATGATTCCATACCCAGAATAGGTAAACCCACACAGAAAGCAGACTGGTGGTTGTTCAGGGATGAGGGAGGGGGAATGGGGAGTGACTGCATGATGGCACAGGCCTTCTTTGGGAGCGATGACAAGGAATTAGAAGGAGAGAATTGAAGGTGCACACACTGTGCATGTACTAAATGCCACTATGCTGGGTACTTTAGCTAATTTTACCAACTTCCAGTATCATTTATTTTTCCTAGAATCTGGATAAAATTAACTGTAGCAAGACAGTGCTCCATACTATTTAAGCCTCATTTTAGGTTCTATAAACTTTCTCAGTATTTGTAAATGTGAATTCCCATTTCAGTAAAATTGGAAAAATAAAAATGATACTGGAAGTTGAAAAAAAAAAAGCTAATTTTATGTTATGTAAATTTCACCTCAATTTAAAAAAATCTCAATAGTCATGATTTCTAAAAACAGTGTATTACTTTCCTTGTTAAAAAGCTAAGTTTTACAAAATACATACCATATAATTTTATTTAGACAAAGTTCTACACAAAAGGCAAAACTATAGGAACAGAAAATAGATCAATGGTGGCCTTGGGCCAGGTTTGGGTGTACTGACTAGGAAGGGGCGTGAGGGAACATTCCAGAGTGAGAGATCTGTTCTGTATTTCAACTATGGGGGTAGTGATAGGGGCGTATACATCTGTCAAAACTTAGACTGTAAACTTTCTTTGTATTTTATTATATGTCAACTAGAGGCCCGGTGCACGGATTTGTGCACACTGAAAGGAAATTAATTAGAAGAAATATTTTAGAGGCTGAAGAGGGACCGAGGGAGATTGGCTCCAGGGCGTGTTTGGCCTATCTCGCCCAGTCCCAATCGGCGAACCCCAGCAGCAAGCTAACCTACTGGTCGGAGCATCTGCCCCCTGGTAGTCAGTGCACGTCATAGCGACTGGTCGAATAAACGGTAGGACACTTAGCATATTGGGCTTTTATTATATAGGATTACACCTTGATGAAGTTGGTGTTAAAAAGGTGAGTCTTGATCACTCTTTAAAGGCCAGGGTAGGCATTCCATGCTACTCTACTTCCCCGGTATGATCAGAGTGTGCTTGTGACCTTATTGTGCACAGCAGTGTGGACGTTATACATTATAAGTGGTCATAAACAAAAGGCAAACTGCCAAAGAGTCCGAATACTAGGATAATGAAATCATGGTTGCTTACCAATTCTGGAAGAGGACAAATGGTGCCAGTATTCATGTACAAGCCTTCAACTACAATAAAACGTCGAGTTACACGTGCCTTGCGAGGATTCTTTAAAAGAAAAACCATAAACATTTAAATTTTAGTAACTCCAAATTACAAAAATCTATTACAAGATTTATTCATCAAAATAAAAAAAATTGATAGTGTGAATTTCAAGCCCACGTTTGAGATCGTGCTATTATGCGAGGAAAAATAGTGCTTTCTCCTCTCAGACATGTTTTTCAGCTCCTGCAATGAACTAGGAGACACCACACACACACACATGGTTGAGGCACTCTGAGACTATTATCACACAAACAAAACCCTCCAAGCTCAGAATGACTGGGAAGGTGCCCAGGGAACTTTCTGGGATGACAGGGTGTTTGATGTCATGATAGAGGCCATGATACTTGGGTTATATGGTTCCAACCATTGGTAAAAAGACAAGGATTTGTGCGTTTCAGTGTCTGTTAATTTTACCTAAAATATAAACTATAACAATGATGCCAATCGTCATCAATGAGATGTAGTGGGGAATTAGATTGTGGTTCAGAGGATAGAAGAACGGCAGAATGTTGATAACAAGCTGGGAGAAGGGTATAGGGACTTCATTATATTATTCTGTTCCCTTTGAAAGTGCCCAGAATTTTCCATAATAAAAACACAGACAAAGCCTACTTTATACTTCTTTTACCAAAAAACAGATGAAACCCCTTTCTTTACTCCACACTACTGGGTCAGGGAAACCTGACTATGACCTCATCCAGTGATGCTGGAAGGCAGTGGTGTGGAGGGATTTTTTTCAGACAACACACACCTGCCCTGGCCCTCGGTGATTCCAAGTCCCTCTGCCAAATGTGTAGATGCTTCCTACGTGCTAGGCTGAAAACACTGAGGTCCACAGACAGTTTACCACCACCTTCCTACTCAAAGTTTCTTGCCTCTAAGCTCCTGTCTGATGGACATCTAGAAACTCCAATGCCAGAGCTCTGCTTTAAGGGGTGCTTAGAACCCAAGGCTGGGACACTCCGAAAGTTGTCACAGTATGCTGAAGTATCCACCACTGAGTTTGCTTGGTCATCTCTACTCTGCCATTAACACAAACTTCAAGGCCACAGGTCTGCTGGGGACATGGGGGCATCCTGCCTTTCCCTGCCTTTTAAAAACAAAGTATCTTATTTAGGATTTGAAAATATTCAATGTAAAACTCTTAGGAAATAACAAAGTACAAAAAACAATTTAACAAATTAGCTCTTCACAACCACACATTGATAACTTTTGTCGTTCTTGTAAAAAGCATCCTATGCTATATAACAAAAGGCTAATATGCAAATCGACCAAACTGCAGAATGGCTGGTTGCTATGACGTGCACTGACCACCAGGGGGCAGATGCTCAATGCAGAAGCTGCCCCCTGGTGGTCAGTGCGCTCACATAGGGGGAGCGCCGCTCAGCCAGAAGCCCTGAGCCAGGCTCATGGCTGGCGAGCGCAGCGGCTCTGTGGCAGCACTAAGGATGTTCGACTGCCGGCTTAGGCCGGCTCCCAGGAGCATGCCTAAGCCGTCAGTTGGATATTCCCCAAGGGCTCCTGGACTGCAAGAGGGCACAGGCGGGGCTGAGGGACACCCACCCCCCTGAATGCACGAATTTCATGCACTGGGCCTCTGGTATCTTTATAAATTACATTGTTCAAATCAGGATTTTACTGGAATAGTTTTAGGACATGGATTTTATGATATTACTAGAGGCCCGGTGCATGAATTCATGCACATTGAAAGGAAATTAATTAGAAGGTGCCCAGCAGAGCGGGACAGGGCGAGATGGGCTGGACACACCCTGGAGCCAAGCTCCTGTGGTCCCTCCCAGGCCGGCCGCACCTGGGGCGGCGCCAGGGCACGAAGGGCGTCTGCAGAGTGAGCGGGGTCCCTCTGGCAGGTGGGGTCCCTCGGCCTGGTCTGTGAGGATTGGGCTGAAACCGGCAGTCCAACATCCCCCAAGAGGTCCTGAAGTGCAAGAGGGCACTCTGCAAACTTTCTGTCGCTCAGCAGCTCCTGTGTTGAGCATCTGCCCCCTGGTGGTCAGTGTGCTTCATAGCTACTGGCCAGTTGCTTAGGCTTTTATATATAGACTAGAGGCCCGGTGCACAAAATCCCTACAGGATCAAGCCTAAACCAGCAGTCAAACATCCCTCTCACAATCCAGGACTGCTGGCTCCTAACCGCTCACTTGCCTGCCAGCCTGATTGCCCCTAACTGCCTCTGCCTTCCTGCCCTGATTGCCCCTAAATGCTCTCCCCTGCCAGCCTGATCGCCCCTAACTGCCCTCCCCTGCTGGCCTGATTACCCCTAACCGCCTCTGCCTCCGCCCCTACCACCGTGGCTTTGTCCGGAAGGAGGACTGGACAACCAGAAGATGTCCAGTCTATCGGGTCTAATTAGCATATTACCTTTTTATTAGTATAGACTGGAGGCCCAGTGGACCACATTCATGCACTGGGGGAGGGGGGGGGGCCCTCAGCCTGGCCCGCACCCTCTCGCAGTCAGGGACTCCTCGGGGGATGTCCGCATGCTGATTGCCCCTAACCCCTCTGCCTGCCTGCCTGGTGGACATCCTTAGCGCTGCCATGGAGCTGCTGCGCTCACCAGCCGTGAGCCTGGCTCAGGGCTTCTGGCTGAGCGGCGCTCCTCCTGTGGGAGCACACTGACCACCAGGGAGCAGCTCCTGCGTTGAGCATCTACCCCCTGGTCGTCAGTGCGCATCATAGTGACCGGTCGTTCCACCGTTCAGCTAATTTGCATATTAGCCCTCTATTATATAGGATGTTCTGAGCATTTCCACATTACTTAATATTATTTAAAACATGATTTTGGGGGGGGGAAATTCTACCTTGTAGGTTTACCATAAATTAACAATTCTCCTAATGTTCCATTTAGGCTGTTTCCCTTGTTTTGCTTTTTTACGTCAAATCGTAAATATCTTTCAATTTCTGACACCATTTCTGATTATCTTCTATAACAGCACCCCACATCCCAGTCCCAAGGGTACAGCTACTTAAGAATACTGGAATGTGACTGCGTCTAAAGGCTGTGCCAATGAAACCCCCAAGAGGGCCCTCTGTCCCATCACACATGTCTGTGTTGAGGCTGATTATTACGATTAAAAAATGTTCCCTAATTGGGCAGGTCAAAACTGCTAGCCTACTTTCTCTGATAATCTTTCTCAGATTATTTTTCACATGCTTAGTTATTTGTATTTCTTCCATAAAACGCTTGACTTATTTATTTATTTTTAGAAGAATATATGACAAGAGAACCCTGTAGGAAAAGGAACAAGAAACATCTTGGGAAATTAACACCACCCCCCAAAAATTTGATCCATACCTGGACTACACTATAATATTTTAATTCAGTCTCAAAGGAAAGATAAGCATCTAAGTAGAAAATATTGAAAAATTTAACATTTATATAAAACTGAAAAAGAATCACCTTTAAAAATAAAAATGTAGAGTAAATTAGAAAACCTACTCTTGGCAGGAAAATATAGTATAAATTAATTAGTAAAAACTATAACATGGAAATACATTTTCAAGATAATTTTATTTTTTATAAAAAAAGTTCACAAGTAATATAAATCTGGTAAAGCGCACACACACACACACACACACAGAAACTTGAATATCATGTTTTCCAGATTTGTACAATACTAATTTGGCAGAATAAACTCTACAGCAGACTGGTCATTGGCCATATTCCTCAAGGCAATGTTCTTCAGTCTGGTAGCATGCTATTACTAAGTCAGAACAAGGGACATTTTTTTTATGATTTTTAGAAAAGTCATCAATGGAATAGTTTCAATGTTAAGATTTCCTAGTTGTGCCCAGCCGGTATGGCTCAGTGGTTGAGGGTTGACCTATGAACCAGGAGGTCACAGTTCTAATCCCAGACAGGGCACATGCCAAATGCCCGGGTTGTGGGCTCAGTCCCCAGTAGGGGCCGTGCAGAGGGCAGCCCATCAATGATTTTCTCTCATCATTGATATTTCTCTCTCTCTCTCCCTCTCCCTCCCTCTCTGAAATCACTAAAAAGTATATTTAAAAAAAAAAATTTCCTACTTGTGCAGCTACAACACATGTATCACAGAGGAAGTTCATCAGAGAGTCTATGTACTCAGTAAGGACTGCTGTCTCCTAACAAAGACGACAGAATCCTAGAGGAATAATGCAAATATTTGAATAAACAAAAATTGACACAAAAATGGGCATTTTTATCAGTGACTCTAATGCATGAGCTGTCCTGGAACAGTCCTCTTGAAAGTGACGCTGAGACAGGCTGTGGTGACCAGGTTCCTAGTCCTGTCTACATGTAACAGTTCCTGTAGAATCACAGACCAGAGCTACTTTCTTCATCCACGTCATCAGAAGAAAATAAATGATAATTCTAACAGTGATGCTCTGAACACATTTCCTCTGCCACACGCCCATGGCACACGGAGGAACAAGCCCATTCCCTCAAGGGGAAGAAACGGTGTAAATGGGTGGCAAGAAGGCAGGAAACCCAGTTTGGGGCTGTTGTTTCTCACAGGTAGCAGCTGCTTAGAGGCACATGACAGTGGGGTGGGGAGAGAGTCTCACTTTGTTCATAAATTTGTAAATTCAGATCTGATGTTATTGTTTCTTCCACTTAATTGATACATGATTGATTCTGATATGAATTAATCTATTTTGAATCCAATCATTACATCTCATGAACACCCTAGTGCAGTGGTCGGCAAACTGCGGCTCACGAGCCACATGCGGCTCTTTGGCCCCTTGAGTGTGGCTCTTCCACAAAATACTGACTTCCGCGCATGGGCCACCAAGTTTCAATCGCACTGTACGTGCGCGCCCGCACGTGGTATTTTGTGGAAGAGCCACACTCAAGGGGCCAAAGAACCGCATGTGGCTCGTGAGCCGTGGTTTGCCAACCACGGCCCTACTGAATCTGGAGCTATTCCTGCAGAGCTGAAAGTATACACCCCCACCCATAGGGCAGGCTGTTTTTCTCTCTCCTTTTTTAAAAATTTTAATATTTTTATTGCTTTCAGAGAGGGAGGGAGGGGGAGAGGGGGAGCGGGAGAAGGAAACATCAATGATGAGAATCATTGATTGGCTGCCTCCTGACCGCCCCCTACTGGGGATCGAGCCCGAAACCCTGGCATGTGCCCTTGACCAAAATCGGACCTAGGACCCTTCAGTCCGAAGGCCGACACCCTATCCACCGAGCCAAACCGGCTCGTGCTCTCTCTCCTTTGTAGAAAGCTGCCTGATTACCTTCCCCAAATTTGCCATACATAATCTTGGCAGTACTGAAGCAATTACATCAGACTTGGCTCTACAGCATGAAGTGCACTTAATAAGCAGGAACATCCTTAATATCCAAATGTGATCCACAGGCAAGTTTTCATGACAAATGATCATTTCCTATATAATTTAGCTGGTTAGAGAGTAGAAAAGAACTGCATAATTTTCTTCAAAAGAATCCTACCTTTTGATCTTCGATCTCTTGTTCTTTTAGCAGTCGCTCCAGGTCAGCCATATCATTATGCTCAAATAACTTAATGTTACTACGCGATGCCTGTAATCCTTTCTGAATAGCAAAGCAGGCAGCTCTATCTCTGTAAGGAAGAGTACAACCAAACTGGGGTTTAAAGGGCTTGTCAATATTCTTAGCATTTGAGTAGGATGACCTACATTTACTTGTTAATGTGAACATGACAAATAAATAAAGCACACCTGAACATTTTTACATCACTGTTTGCGCTTCCCCCTGCAAGCGCTTTCCACAAAACTACATCCTGGTTCTGTTCTAAGCAGCACTCTTCTGTATTTTCACCTCGGCGTCAGCAGGCTAAGGCCTTACTGTGCATGGGCTCTCTGAGAAATGCACGAACACTCACGCTGCACCACAGCGGCACCTCTGGTTGGGATGCCACGCTCAAGAGAAGCCGTCCTGGACAGCTGACTATCCGCAAAACCAGGTAGAACTCTGAATCTTGCAGATTAAACTTCCATGAGATCTTCTAAATTGGGTTCATTAGGAGAAAATATATTTTTAAAGTAAGTTGTATTAATTAAAAGTATATGCAAGATTTCTACGTCTGGGAAGATGAAGTAGACACATTTTCCCTATTTTTCTTACTAGGTGCCACCAAACCCCTAACATTACATATAAAGTAAGTCTAAGAAGACTGAAAGATGGAGAGAAAAGTCAGACCAGCTAGGGACCTGAGAAATAGCATGACACGAGTTTCCTGGATTTCCCAGACTGAGGGCTGATGAAGCTGGCCACCTGGAAATGCCACGGACACAGACAAAAGAACTCTAACAGAAGCCTGTGTTCTGTAGCCAAAGGGAGAGGAAAGAGGGCTCCCAGCTGACAATAACGGCTCCGTTGCAGCCACACCACAGGAATACCGGGCCCACCCTCCGCACCAGCAGAGGCTGAGGGGAGGGCTTAGCCTCTGACCCTGGTGAGGCTGTAGCAAGGCACCTCAGCATCCCCGGGTGGTGCTGGAGAAGGGAGCTGAGACATTGATCTGTGCCGACGGGTAACATGGGGCTCCAACATGGTGTCAGTGAGACCATGGAGAGCATGCCAAGTTCCACTCACCCTGCAGTTAGGGGCAACCTCTCTCTCCTGAATGTGGCCTGTATCAGAGGAGGCTCAGGAGAATGAGGGAGAGAAAGCACCCCCTCAGTGTCAACCAACTATTACCTGTCTTACCAAGAACCAGAGGTCTTTAAGCAGAATGAAAGAAAACAGCCAACAAATGTCAATCCTGAGGTGATACGGAGCCAGGACTTCTGATAACTTTAGCGCAATCATGGCAACAATATTTTCTCCAAAAATAGAAAAGAGACCTATCCAACAATCCAGCAGTTTTACTTCTGGGTATTTATCCAAAGAAAATGTAAGCACTAATTCAAAAGACATATGCACCCTTATGTTCATTGCAGCATTATTTACAATAGCCAAGATATGAAAGCACCCCAAGTGCCTATTAGTAGACAAGTAGATAAAAAAGCTGTAGTACAAATACACAATGGAATATCACTCGGTATAAAAAGAATGGAGCCCTGGCTGGTTTGGCTCAGTGGATAGAGCATTGGCCTGCGGACTCAAGGGTCCCAGGTTCGATTCCAGTCAAGGGCATGTACCTTGGTTGCGGGCACATCCCCAGTAGGGGGTGTGCAGGAGGCAGCTGATCGATGTTTCTAACTCTCTATCCCTCTCCCTTCCTCTCTGTAAAAAATCAATAAAATATATTAAAAAAAAAAAGAATGGAATATTAAAGAATATTATGCTGAGTGAAAAAAGTCAGACAGAGAAAGATAAATACCACTTTGAGGAGACAGAGGAAGCTAGGTAGTCAGAATTGGGACCATGGGAAGAGGAAGTAAAACCAGGAACCCGCCCTAACCGGTTAGGCTCAGTGGATAGAGCGTTGGCCTGCAGACTGAAAGGTCCCAGGTTCGATTCCGGTCAAGGGCATGTACCTCAGTTGCAGGCACATCCCCAGCAGGAGGAGTGCAGGGGGCAGCTGATTGATGTTTTTCTCTCATCGATGTTTCTAACTTTCTATCCCTCTCCCGTCCTCTCTGTAAAAAATCATTAATATATTTTAAAAACAAAACAAAACAAAACAGGAACCCAACTAGGTGGAGTTACAAAGACACCAACTGGGTGGGGAAGGAAGGGCGCCTGAGAGAGGCATGAACTTGAAAATGTATGGATATTTCTAAGACAGGAGGCATGCAAATAACCAATCATAAGGCAGTGAGGCATATAAACCAATCCCAAGGATACTGCTAAGCAGAATTCTTTAAAAAGTCCAATCAGGAGCTAGCAAGGCTGTATCCACACCCTCAATTAAAAAGCGTGCACTCCCTTTTGCCTCTCTCAGGGCGCAATGGGTTCCTGATGTTCCTGTGGTGGGAGCACACCCCTGCGCCCATGTGGCTGATGTCCACTGGGACTCTGCACATGGACTGATAGACTTTACACCCGACTGTCACATGGAAAGGAAGCCTGGACGCTGGCTGCTCCTGGAACCCCAGCGGCACCTGTTCCAGGACTGGCTTCTCCCAATAAACTTCGGTTCCGCTAATCATTTTTGTCTGTGACTTCATTCTTCGATTTCTCGAGACAATGAACTTGGACTCAAACACCCCACATTTCGGTTTCAATATAATTGCACTTATATGTGGAACTAAAAACACACACAAATAAACCCAAACAAATCAAAGCAGAAACACACTCATAGATAGAGGAAACACACTGGAAATTACCAGAGGGCGTACCCATTCAGTGAGCTGGGGAAAACTGGTGAAGGAGATTAAGAAGTACATATTTCCCATCATAAAAATTTAAATAAGTCAATGGGGATGTGATGTACAACATAGGGAATCCTATATAATAAGAGAGGAATATGCTAATTAGCTATTATGCCCTGAGGCATAACGACCAGATCACGGATCAGCAGGAGGGTGGCCCAGCGAGGTACAAGTGGGCTTCGGGAGAGCTACAGGAGGGGGCAGGGCAGCAAGCAAGTGGGAGGTGGAGAGCTACAGGAGAGGGCAGGGCAACAAGCTATGAGGGGGGGCCAGGGGGAGCTACAGGAGGGCGGGGCAGTGGGCAGAGAGCTACAGGAGGGCGCATGGATTCGTGCGCAGAGCTACTAGAATAGCAATAATACTGTAATAACTTTGTATGGTGACAGATGGTAATTAGACTTACTAGGGGATCATTTCATATGTACATATACAAGTATCAAATCACTATACAGTGGAACCTCGTTTCTTGAACTTAATTTGTTCTGAAAGGCTGTTCGAGAAGTAATTTGTTTGAAAACAGAATCATTTTTCCCATTAGAAATAATGTAAATTGAATGAATCCATTTAAGACCCTCAACTGATTCCTTGTTTTAACCTTTCTTAAATACAGCACATCTAATGTACTGTTTGATCTGGAAAAAAAACACTTCTTAGATTTATAAAACCACCCCCTACTAGCCTTAAACAAATTTTTACTATATCCCTGCCTGGGAAATGCTATCACTGGCTAACTGCTTTTCCTTTATCCGCTCAGCAGCAGTCTTTCTACCTATTCAATTGCCTGTGATTGTTTTGTGAGCACTTTCACACCCTTAGTAACATTAGCACTCTTGATGGTTTCTTTATGTTTTAAAATTGTACTAATCATAGATTCCCACCAACAAAAGCATTCTCGCCTCTGTTCCCTGAGAGATACTTTCTGTCATGCTGAGGTATCAGCATAAAAGAATTGTCAGGTCGAAAATTGAAGTTTTGATCAACAACCCAGATATTTTTTCTGTGAACAACTTGGTCCAGAACCTAACTGTTCGAGATGGGAGACATTTGAGAAACAAGGATCAACTGTAGTGTGCATCTGAAACTAATAAGATATTGTATGTCAATTATATGCCAATAAAAAAACGTTTTCAATGAAACCAAGAGCCAGTTCTTTAAAAAGATAAACAAGATTGAGAGACCTTCAACCAGACTCATCAAGAAAACAAGAGTTGAAAGATAAAATCAGAAATGAAAGAGGAGAAGCAACAACTGACACCAAAGATATACAAAAGATTTAAAGAAAATATTACGAACAACTGTTTGCCAACAAATTGGACAATCTGGAAGAAATGGTTAAATTCCTAGAAACATACAATCTCCCTAAAGTGAATCATGAAGAAAAAGAAAATCTGAACAGACAGATTACAATTAATGAAATTAAAGCAGCAATCAAAAAACTTCCAACAAACAAAACTCCTGGACCAGATGGTTTCACAGGTGAATTTTACCAAGAATTCAAGAAAAACTTATACCTACTGTTCTCAAGCTATTCCAAAAAAACTCAAGAGGAGAGAAGACTGCCAAGCTCATTTTATGAGGCCAGAGTATCCTAACTCAAAACCAGATAAAGATACTACACAGAAAGAAAATTATAGGCTGCTAAAATCCTCAACAAAATATTAGCAAACCAAATCCAGCAATATATTAAAAAGATCATACACCATGATCAAGTGGGATCTATTCCTGGGATGCAAGGTTTGTACAATATCCACAAATCAATTAATGTGATACACTATATAAACAAAATGCAGAATAGAAGTCATATAATCATATCAATAGATGCAGAAAAAGCATTTAACAAAATCCAGCACACATTCTTTTATTTTTTTTTTTCAGGTGATCATCATAGCTAGGTTCTCTTGCCTGGTTCTATCCAGCACACATTCTATAAAATAAAAGCCTAGGTGGCGTCGCATGACGTCACAAGATGGCCACCACAAGATGGTCGGCAGGGGAGGGCAGTTGTGGGCAATCAGGCTGGCAGGGGAGGGCAGTTGGGGGTGAAATCAGGCCAGCAGGAGAGGGCAGTTGGGAGGCAATTGAGCCAGCAGGGGAGCAGTTAGACGTCAATCAGGCCGGCAGGGGAGCGGTTAGGGGGCGATCAGGCTGGCAGGCAGAAGCGGTTAGGGGCAATCAGGCAGGAAGGCAGGCAGCGTCACAGCTAGTGAGTACAGCAGTGGTGGCGGGAGCCTCTCCCTCCTCCACGGCAATGCTGAAGAGCAGCGAGCAGGGGGTCCCGGAC